GATTGACATGTATTCTATACCGAGTAAGGATTGAGCTTTTAAAAGTTACAAATTCTCTCGTGAGCAGTAGATTGATTCAATCCATTATAAGTAAAGCATCTTTAATATATGCTGATGAGTACATCAGAGAAGGAGGGGGCATCCTCTGAAACCAATTTAGTTAGATTACATTTCTCTACTTCAAAATAACCCGCCAATAAAACACTTAATGGTGATTTTCTTTAGGGACTGTAGTTTGCTTAGTTACAAAAATTATTCTGAGCTTTGTGCAGGGAAAAGATCCTTTTTCAAAACTTTTATTGATTTTATTCACCAATTTTTCCATCTTACGATGTAAAAAATTCCAATAATTTTGGTTTAAAATATTATTATTCCTACAAGACATGAAATGTCATATTGTCTTTGTCAGACAAATCCATTTTACAGTTACAATTAGTCAGAGGGGAACACTTTTTGTGTAAACTATCAATCTTTTCGTTTTCGGCGAATATAATTGCTTGAAGAATTTTATCTTATTGAAATTAGACGAACCTTCTTACTCGTCAGCTATTTGGCACTAGCGACAAATAGATAAACAAAGAGAGATGAAGGGTCTTGGGAAGAATTTTGCATTCCATCTTTAATACTTTTATTTCATTATGTAAACGAATGCTGAAGATTTATTTTTTATCTTCAAAACTTCTGAATAGAAATTATTTTTATACATATCGTATGTATCTTTTTAAAATTACATGTATATGATGGAATATTTTTTAAGTTATTACTTTTAACTTGAAAATACGGATATATATTTAATAGCTGTGTTAAACTTAAGAAATTTATTTTAAAATTAAGGATTGTCTCCCCCATGCATAGCTCTGATCCTTCGATGTATTTGACCCCAGTCTTTGGCACTCCCTTTTTTTCTGGTGTTCAACTTTTTTATCTAAATATTTCGGATTTCCAAAGTTTCGGCATAAGCATAACTGAAGGGACATAATTTTTCGAAATGAGCATCTGGTGCAATAAAATTGGTACATGTACCGTATATGATTCACATTTAAATAATTACATGGAGAACGTTTTACGCCTCTTCGGATCAAGTTTCTGTTCCAAAGTTACTGAAGATAAATTTATCATATATCCCTATATTATTAGTAGGGATGGGTATCGGCAAAAATTTCGTATCGTGATATATCACGATTTTTTCCCAAAAATATCACGATAAATCGTGATATTTTTACACGCATTTTTTACTACAATTTCAAATGAATTTCCGTAATATTTCTTAAAAATATGCTATAAAAACATAACTTTACTTTTTAAATTTTCATTTATTTAATATAAAGCATGTTTTGATGCGTTGTTTTATTAACTGTTTTAAACATTTTTTACACTTCCTCTTATTGTCATTCAATAGTTTGACAAATAAATGAATGATTTCCGGAATTTATAGTTATGTACCAAATACCGGTATTTTAGTCTCCGCATCACGATACATATCACACTATAAAAAATCGCGATATACCGGTATACCGATAAAATCGCGCATCCCTAATTATTAGCTAAACATAATAAAAGAAAAGATTGGGGATCAAATATACAACTCTTACCTATTAAGCAAAACACTTTTAAAGGAGCTTTTTGATGTGCATGAAAAAAATTATGTTTTTTTACGTACTACGTCAACAATTTCAGAGAGGGGTAGGATGAATTCTGATATCTACGGAGTGGTGATTCGGAATGAGTCATAAACACTCAGGTATTAGTCCGAAATATCTGACGTTTTCCTGGCTTTTTTACGATTTTGATATTTTACGTGCCAGGAAAACGTCAGAACCGGCGCCATTACGAAAACTGGAAATTTCGCCGTCTCCAACCGGAGCTGATTTTCGATACTTGCGAACTGAATTAAATGCCGAACTTACAATTTATCAATAGCACAATGCCTCTAATACTCACCAATACCGATGAAAAGAAAATATCACTCTACATTTCGATACAGGTCTTGCAAGTTTTTAAAAATGCACGAATTAAAACAAAACTCAAGGGTCTGATAAAGTGTTTTCACCGGACTGTATATTTTATAAACAAACCTTAAAAACGATGTTGATGGGTACTGAAGGCATTGTTCTATTGATAAGTTGTGAATTCAGCTTTAAATTCGGTTCGCAAGTATCGAAAATAAACCCGAGAATGCCGCCTCCAGTTGGAGGCGGCGAATTTCCAGTTTTCGTGATGGCGTCGGTTCTGACGTTTTCCTGGCATGTAAAATATCAAAATCGTGAAAAAAGCCTGGAAAACAGAAATTTAGTCTAAGTCAGGTATATACTAAATTACGTTATATTCTAGTGTTTAGACGTAGTATTTACCATCCAGATGTACTTGCTCTTGGACTTTTTATTCTGTTTGTATCAATCGGTTTATGTATTTTTCATTTCTATATTGGAAGCAAAGTCTCTTACAGATTTGTAACAGCAGTCGTAAACTTTTCGTCAGTTTCATCAAATCACTATTTCAACCCAGATAATAATGTCAGTATCCTTCCTTTGTTTATAAAATCTTCAGAGGACAAAATGTATAAATTAACCTTTATTAGTGTGTGTATCCAAGGATCTACCTGGTGAATGCCCTACAGATAATTAACAGTCAAATATTGAATAGTATCTCCATTCCAAAAGGTATTTTTAAAATCCGATCATATGGAGATCACAGTTTTTAGTAATTGTGTGTGTGTGTGTGTGTGTGTGTGTGTGTGTGCGCGCGCGCTTATCGAATATATCATTCAAAATTGTGTGCAAAACAATAGCTGAGAAGACATATGTCAGATTAATTGAAAATACAACAGGTATTTGAACCGGTAGGGTTTCATATATCAGGGAATTTCACTCTGTAGATCAGGGATTTTTTTTTAAATAAAGTGTAGAAGTTTCTACAGTGCTACTCTTTTCTTTATTAGTTGTCGATATTTGAACATTTAATTCAATAAATCTGACAAATTAGATTAGATTTTTTTCACAACCGTCATCATCTGAATTAAAAAAAATGAAATGCATTCATTTATTTGATATCATTATTAGTTCATAAAGGAAAATGCCTGATCTATTTGGTTTTCTTTTTAAATAAATAATAAAGAAAAAAGAGGAATTAAATTAATCTTTTTTAATAGAAGCAACAAGAAAGCTTGAGAAAACAGCTTTATGTGTGATTTCCCTTTGAATTCTCAGCTACACAAAAGCATATATGTAAAAAAAAAAAAAAAAAAAAAAAAAAAAAAAAAAGGTCAGCTTATTTCATCAAGAGAATGTCGGGAAATAGGTTTAAAATAAATAATCGGGGACATCAACATCTTTATTAATATTTCCGATTCCCGAATCATTTTATTCGAACTTTCTAAGATGGCCAGAATTCTAGAAAAATATACCATCCCACAACCAGCCCTATTTTAAGTACTCCATTGCGGAGACAACGAAAGGAATACTGAATCAGATCTTGATTCGATACGCAAGAGCATGCTCTACGTACGTACAATTTCTAAAACGAGGTAAATTATTGACAAATAAGTTGATGAAACAAGAATATCAGCTGTCTCGTTCATCATTTCGTAAGTTCTATGGTCGATACAATGACCTTGTCAGCAAATACAATTTATCATTGAGTCAAATGCTGACTGACGTTTTTCATACTAATTGTTAGGCCATTATTTACACACTGAATTGTCGACGGATTTTTCCGTTATTTCCCGATCATGACAATGAGCACACGGCGGGTGTGACCGGTCGGCAGGGGATGCTCACTCCTCCATGGCACCTGATCCCACCTCTGATGTTTGGAGGTCCGTGTTTGCTCTGCTCCTATTTTGTATTGTATAATGGACTTTGAGCTTGAATACTGTTCGTTATCTCCATATATTTCATATAGATGTAGTTGCAATGACCTCATCAATAGTGTATTAAAATCTTTGTGCCAGTGTGAATTTGATACTTTCTAACAGTACACCGGCAAAGACGTAAGCGCAGTCATGACATCGTTCATACAATAAGTCAAATATACACGATGTTTCATATGATGTTACATTTCGTCGATAAACATTCAGATCTATATCACATTCACACTAAACTTTACTCCATGCCCTTGAAACTTTATATGGGATATTGGAAGAAGCTAAATCAAGTCCATACTTAGATTCTTCAACAACTTAATAAGTCTAGTGATTGTGACTATGAATGCTATAATGTTTCCCAACACAAGCTTATTTAATTAAACCATCACTCACTTTCTATACAGAAGATAATTCCGAATCAACAGGTAGATTTCTTAATCTTAATTTTGCTACTAGAGTAAAGAAGCTTCAAAGATTAGCAAAATTCTTTATCATAAAAAGTTCAATCTTGTATTCCACAATATTTTAAGTTAAAGAGGACTCCTTGTATTTCCTAAAGATATTCCTCGACCATTGCATCTTTTCAATTATAAACAAACTCGGCCGTGCTATGCGATTGAGCACTGTTACCTTCACCTTTTACATTTACTTATTTTGTTCTTTAAAACAATGTAATTTTAAGTAAACAATCGTGCGTATGAATAAAAGTGTGATTTGACACCTCATTGACGTTGACATGAATTGACATTGATATTGAGGCGATACCGCAAATAGCGTTTCATATTACATAAGGTAACTATTTTTACTTTCCTAGGGAAGTGTTACTTCGTGGTACGTTACGTTAAATATTACTTTGTTTCATTATAAAAAGTAAATTCATGTACGTTCAAGTGATGCACGGAAAATGCTTCATGACGCGATAAAATATTGTTTTCGTATTTAATATCCAGTTGTGAAAAGGAGCTATTTTATAATATAGTGAGGTATGCACATAAAAAATATATCTTATCAAAAACTGTTAAAGAACCAATATCTAAATAGAAGCGTTTTTAAACATGTGAATATAAAGTATGATTTCTACATATTTCCTATTTGCCTTGGGATTATGGACATATATAAGCAAATAAAATACTGTTTTAGATACAGTGTTACTTAGATGAATCTTCAACCAAAGACAGGAAGTACTTAATACTGGGCAAGGGTACATCGATCCAAATTATCATGTAAGAGTTTGTCTAATTGATATCAAGAAAATATACAGACTACGATGTATTTCAATATATATTGTATATATGTCCGACTAAAACCACCTATGAAGGGGGCGTGTATTTGGACCTGTATTCATTTGGTACAGATTTTTTTTTATTATTATGCAATCAGTTTAGCTGTTTGATGTCAAGAAGATTTTCGAATATCTGTGATTGTGTACCATGATAATGTGTCCAAGAGTAAAGAAAATTAAAGTGATTCTTTAAAACCAAAACTATAAGGATTAAAATGTATAGCTGTTTAACAACCACCGAGAACAAGTATTTTGAAAGGAAAACTTAGAGAAGAGTGGTATCTCATACGGCGTGTGTTGATCTCTTTAATTAACTGTGAAGGTATTTAAAGAGGACTTGAAATGAGTCTTAATTTCAAAACTCAATAAAAATTTCAGCTTTAAAATTCCAGACTAAATATAGAGATTGGGAAATGTGGTTGAGCTAACCCTTCGTCAATTATTTTCCTCTTAGGCACCTGATCCCACCCCTGGAACCTCCAGGGCTCTGTGTTTTATGCTCTAGTAACAGATATGTATTATTTGTAGGTTTTTCGAGATCGATCACTGTTCGTTATTTTAACCTATTTCATTAAATCAATTTTCTATCGGTCTAAATTTCAAACTTAATAGGAACGTATTATCTTTATTTAAAAGCATTTGAAATATCTATAAGTATATATCTTAGAAATAAGTCAAGCAGTTTCCACTGTTGATAGAGATTATAGAAAGTCGAAAGGTAAAAGAATTTTTGCGAAACATTCATGAGCGATGGCTTATAATCTACATGTTCTATGTATTAGGTTTTACATGTATTCGTAACGTCGCATGGAATTATTTTTTTTATTTGCATATATGCATGATTGATTTATATTATTTCATTTTTTTTAAATGATACGAGGGTCGTTCAATAAATAATGCAATAGGCCATCTAAAAGTAAGAAAAGAACGCTATACATATTCTAAACATTTTCAATCCCTCAAAGCATTCCCTGTCACCCTTTACACATGTCTTAAGTCTTTGTACCCATGACCAGAAAATCTCAGCATACTCATCTTTAGGGATGCCCCAAAGACACTGATGAATATCACTTCCAATGACATATATCTAATATTGTACAATCTTCCTTTGATTGTTTTCATGTGTTTTTGGAATAAAAAAATCTCAAAATGGCTGAGATCTAGTGAATATGGGGGATGGCAAAGCTCTGCAAACTTTCTTTTCTTTAGAATTTCATTTATTTCTCTGTGCTTATTTGCAGCAGAGTTGCCAGGTGCAAGAAAATTACCCTGGGGCGGTATTTGGATTTCCTTTGTAGGAAATCTGTTTACCTTTCCTCAGTGCAATGTTAACACAAAAGTTACCATTGATGTTCCTTCCTTTTGGTGTACGTATATGTTTACTGGACCTCTTGAAAAAAAATGAAAACTAATAAAACATGCTTGGAGACCTTGTTTCTTTTTACAAAAATAAGAACGATAGTTTCTTCTTTGATTTCACATTTTACTATTGATCTTCCTTTTTGGCTAAAAATAAAGTGCACCCATGTTTCGTTATCCTTCACGCAAATTTAACAAATTTTCTATTTTGTTAAAATATTTGGTTATAAAAAGACTGTTGGTACATTTAATGCGTGTTTTCTCTTAGGCAATTCTAAGAAAATAAGGCACATATCTGATAGAAATATTATTATATTCATTTCCGTTGTAAGAATTCTACAAAACGTTGTGATGATGAAAAGCTTAGTGTTTTAGCAATGTCTTTCGATTTAAATCTGACATTTTCAGATATCATGTTGCACATAGCATCGATAATTTTTGGCGTCCCTACAAATTTCGATCGACCAGTTTAACTGCTATATTTTAACTCTCCTTTTTCACTTTTGAATTTCTGAATCAATCTGAAAACTATACAGTTTTAAAGCCTATTCTTTCCACATATAAAAATCATATCTTAATATGAGTTCTTCGGCGATTGATGTAAAGAAGCACAGTTTTCAAATACGCTCTCATTTTCATTTTCTTGTCAGAGATCATTTTAAACAATTTTCAGCTCAGTGTAGTGACCATGCTCACTTTAAAACTGAATTTCTTTCCGAGAACAATAGAAAAAATCATGGGTTTTCTTTGATTAGGAGCTCTTTAATAGCGCTTTTCAACTACGAAAAGATAAAATTAAAGAGATCTACATTTACTATGATATTTTGTATATTGCATTATTTATTGAACGACCCTCGTATGTCACAGCTAATTTGAATTTTGAATGTTATCCAATATGCATGGGAGACAGCAAAACTGTCAGCTGTTTTACATGCATTTTAGCTCCTGCAAAGTCTGTTCAATTTATAATGTAAAGATAAAAATTCAGTAATGAACCTTCTATGGAATGTAAATACAGAAAACCCACAACGTGACTGAATTACAAACAAAGTAGTACGCTGTGCGGTCTGTATACAAGTTATAATATTTGCGGATTCCTCTGTTGAAACAAATTTGATCGACAATTCTCAAATACAAACTAATGTTGTAAATTCCTACGTACCATTGGTTGTTCTTTTACTAAGACAGTAGTGCCTTTGTATTGCATGTTGTTCTCCTCTGTCTATTGCCTTTTAGCTTATTCAACTAGATAAGAATTATATACCATTTGTAATTGCAGTAATACATGTAAACACTGGGCTAACAACGTGGACTAGGCTTGAAGCATGGAGGTTTAGATTTATGGAATTGTTTTAAAAAGTGTTTCAAAACTACTTCATGTTGTGTGGAAACCACAACGTTAATCGTTCTCCATATGCCAAAATGTCAACCTCAAATCTTAGTAGTGAAATTCTTTTTTCTCTATTTCACAAATAGAGAAATAAATAGCTTAAATGTGACTTATACCTATATGTAGGTCACATTTAAGGCGATGGTCGGGCTACCAAATTTTATTGTATTGTCGGTTGTAAAACATGATCGACCGACACTGGTATCGGGCGACGCTGAGCAGTCACATTAATTCCTAAGAAAACCGATAATTTTCAAAAATTGAATTTTTAGTCGACCAACAGTCGCCCGATCATCGTTCGCTAAGCCGCAGTTTGATTTTCACCGTCGGCTGACATTTACGAAAAACCAATTCCTAAATGTCGACCGACCGACTTAACGAACTGTCTGCCGACAATCGGACGATGGTCGAAGGTTGGTTGACTGCTTCATTTGAAGGAATCGGCCACCGACGCAGAAAAAAATATAACTGGGCCTGATGGACAAAAAAAAAAATAGTCGGCCGACGAAAAAAAAGACGTCAAAATCGGGCAAGACAACGGCCGATGAACTGCCGACTGTCTCCAGAATAATCCTTTCTTGGCCTCAAAACCCGTCGGCCGTTGATCGTTTTTGGAAATGTGACGGGGGTTTTAGGTATGTCACATTCAAGCCGATGGTCGGGCGAAATTTTTCTCGTATCGTCGGCTGAAAAAAATGATCACAAACCGATACTTTTATTGGGCGAAGCAGAGCAGGCACATTAATTCCTAGAGACACCGATGACTTTAATAGTTTAAATATTATAAGTCGGCCAAACGTCTCCCGATCATGGAGAGCTCAGTCGCTGTTTGATTTTCACCATCGGTCAACATTCTGGAAAACCCAATTCCTGAATGTCGACCGACCGACAACCGATTAGCAATCTATCTGCCGATGATCGAGCGCCTACGCATAAAAAAATTAACTTAACGGACACATTCTGGACGACCGACGAAAACATGAGGTCAAAACTGGGCTAGACAATAGCCGATAAACTGCCGAATGCACATGTCGCCTGAAGATTGCCATTTTTGTCTTAAATACCGTCCGCCGATGGTTTTTGGCAATATGACTGGGGTTTTATTGTTAGATCAATCCATCTGATTGTGAAGAAGAATTGTGAAACAACATATTCGTTGTTGTGCGAATCAAATGTGGATACTATAAAACTCCAATAAACTTTTAGAAAATTGGAAATAAAAAGACAAAAAAATTCCAAACCTAATTGTATAATGAATCTTCCCTATGTTTTTTTTTTTTCGACATTTTATACAATCATTCATCATGATAAAATTAAGACCAGGCTTTTTGACATGATAAGACATTACACCTTTAATAAAAATGAAACAAGGAAATTTTCGTATTTTGCCATTGATCATTTACAAACTCACTGTTGACTGACAACTTTCATACAAATTATAAGCCTTTTTTATACTGAATTTTTATACTTTGTCTACGGATTTACCCGATCATGTCAAGGAGAACAAAGCAAGTGTGCCCAGTCGACAGGGGAAGTCTACTCTTACATTGCACCTGATCCCACGTCTGATGTTTTCAGAGGTTCCTGTTTTCTCTGCTCACAATGTGTATTGTTTGATTGGACTTTTGAGAGTGATTTCGTTTCCTTCACTTTGACAAATGTATTGGAATCAGGATATAGAATAACAAGCATAAGTACAATTTTTTTAAAAAATAAATACAAATGTAAATGGTGAAGATAATGAACAGTGGTATTTCAAATTTATCATGTACTTTTCCTACTTTTCCTTTAATTTAATAATGATATTTTTACCTTGTATCATTCTCATATTCTGTTGCCTCTGTATTTAAACTTTTCAATAGTCTCTTTCCACCAGAAGTGCATTGGGAAGTGCACATTTACACTGAACCAACTTTTTACCATGTCTCAACTCCACTCCAACGGATAAAAAGGAAATCAGAGGTACCCTGTTATAAGATAGAGTTTTGCCATTAAATTATAATCAGGTAAAAGGATTTCATTCTACCTGATGATGTTCCAGTAAATAAAATAAATCCTTAGCAAGTATATTTCTTCATATGAAAGTCGTACATGACTAATGTGAAAAAATAAACCCAGAAAGAACCGAAAAATGGTTGTAAGGGGAACCACAGAGTGGAAGAGGAAAGTGCTTATTGCTCACAAAAATGTGC